ATCGCGTGTTTTGTGAGCAAATGCTTTTGCATATTCGTAGTGTTTCCTCCCTTAAATGAAATATCTAAGTTATGCAAGTATTGCAAGTTTCCCTGTTGTCATCCGTTCTCGTAAAGTATGACCAAACTTTTTAGCGTTTGAGCCGCCATGTTTCCTGCCAGGTAAATGACGCTCCGCAACGTGGCGACGTCATTCGGGGCGACTGGAATCGATAAGGGAATCGTTTGCTAACATGGCAAACAATTCCAAGGAATTGAAACAGTGGGAACCGGTTCTCAACAAGAACCGGTTTTCGATACCCATCCCTATTCCTGAGAGTATTGTCTTGATGCATGCTCAATCATCCAGGTAAGTAAATCCCCAAAAGTATATTCTGTTCATCTGGACGTAGTGTTTTCAGTGGATCACTGAAACTAGATCCACTGAAGGAACAATGGTTTGGGACGTCAGTTCCTTCATCATAATTATGCCAATTCTCATGACCATTGATCAACAACCACTGTCCAAAGACCACTGATCAGTGGCCATGAGTATCATTCAAAGACTTGGGGAATGAGGTATATTTCCATACCTAATTCACTTACCTCACCTAAGATGAACAGCTTCAAGGAGGCTGGGATACAGTAAGTTAACCATGCAGATAGGTTTTCATATGTGCTCTGTCAGAATATCTACATAGACACACAAGACCATATAGCATGCATTTGAGTATCTTTGTGTATCAAATCTTCTGAAAGATCTCGCTTCCACTTTGCGCCTGGGAGAGAAATCAAATCTTCAGTTTTTACCAATTACTTGGGCATTATTGATGACAATTTTTGTGGTACATAATTTTTAAATGTATCTTACCCATGGAGGTACCGTGTTCACCAGTTCTTTTTGTTTGAAGGATTTAAGTTTGGCAAGAATTATTCTAGGTCTGTGTCGTCTTGTCACTTCCCTCCCAGATGTTGGACACAATAGAGTGAACAGTGAATTCCATTGTTTTATTATAATACGATGCCACCTGTGCAACATGTTAAATTGTGAAATTTCTTTACTACAAAATATTCCACAGTGAGCTGTTAATGGTATTATAACAAAAGTTGAAGTGACTGAGTTCCATGGTTGAGGAGCTGCATCCAAGCATTACGTCACTAAACAAGTGCAATTCAATGTGTGGGATGGATTGGTGTAAAGGGATGGGGTGGTGTGTGTTTGGTGTGTGTATATACAGTATGTTGATTTTTTTTTTTTTTTACCTTTCAGGTCAGATCTCAAGGCAGCCAGAGGTGATTCTGGATTCTGGTCCCTCTGGATATTACTACCAGGGTGTGTGGCGAGCTTTAGGTGGCACCACAGTTTGGCAGTTTAACACTTCCTCAGCCATTACTCAGTGTCTGAGAGGAAAGGTGATTAAAATGTACGGAGACTCCACCATCAGGCAGTGGTTTGAATACTTTAATGGAGCACTATCAGGTAGATACATGCAAAACCTTTCTTGCACCAGTTTGATTTTCTGTACTTTACTTATTCCTTCTGTAATACTTTCAGGTCTCAAGGAGTTTAACCTACATAGTCCTAAGCAAATTGGACCTTTTATTGCCCTGGACTACCCAAATAACATCTTCCTGACGTACCGTTGCCATGGTCCTCCTATCCGGTTTAAGAATGTCCCCATCAGCGAGCTGCATTATATTGCCAATGAGCTAGACAATGTGATTGGAGGCAGCAACACAGTTGTAGTTCTTGGCATTTGGTCACATTTCAGCACTTTCCCCATTGAAGTCTACATCAGACGGCTGCAGAGCATCCGCAGGGCAGTGGTGCGTCTGTTGTCCAGGGCTCCAGAAACACTGGTTGTCATTAGGACTGCAAATCCCAAAGCTTTGAACCTCTATGAGACACTTACTAATAGTGACTGGTACTCACTGCAGAGGGACAAGGTGCTCAGGGCCATGTTCAAAGGATTGGATGTCCATCTGGTGGATGCCTGGGAGATGGTTGTGGCCTACAACCTGCCACACAGCCTCCACCCACAACCTCCCATTATCGAGAACATGATTAATGTTCTCTTGTCCTATATATGCCCTCACAAGGGTGGCTAGATTTATTTTTTAAGAGACCAGCCACGTGTGAGATGGACTGCATTTTAAAAATCTTTTTAACAGGAATTTGGGGTGGGAAAAAGAACCAAAGCATGATGGGGTACAACTATCGAGAGTGGGGTTGGTACATAAAATTCACCAAGCGTAAGCAAATTCCATAATGAAGTCATCTACAAAATACTGATTGGTTTCAGTTACACGATATGGTATTTAATGTCACGTGTCCAGCTGCTTATTTCTGAGAAATAAAGTGCTCACTGCTGCTTTGGCTCCAAAAACGGTTTTTCAGTACATCTTTTTATTGCAGCTGTTGTTACTGTTTAGTTTGGGAGAAGAATAATGATCAAGATTGAGAAATATATTCATGATCTAAGGTTAGATGGTATAAAAGTACAGACCAGTCAACTTTTAGTTGTTACAGGCTTTTGTTCTCTTGTGTGAACTGTTTTGTGCAACTAAGTCACACTACATCTACAGGAACCTGCGAAGCCATGGAGGTTCACCTCTGGTTCACTGGAGAGGTGACAGTGATCTTTTGGAGAGCTAATACTCAATCTGCTTTCCAATTCTGCCAAACCAATACGCAAAATGGAGGACAGGTGCAAGGAGGAGTATTGAAGCCCATGTTCCGCCCATGGTCAGATGCCACTGTCCGCCACCAGAGTTTTGAAGAAATAAAAACACAGAAGAGAACAGAAAACACTGTGACCATTACATGGGGAAGAAGACACAGCTGAAATGACACATGTCCAATTAACAAATACATTGAAACAGGCAGATGCAGCAACAAGAACTTTACAGAATGCATGGATACATTTACATGTATAACAATCAAGAAATACAAAGAGTGAACACTGAAGGAACAATGTAAATAATATAGTTGGGACTACATTTACTTTGTAGTTTTCATGAGGCACTATAAAGCAGAGATCCCCAACCTTTTTTGCGCCACGGACTGGTTTATGTCCGACAATATGTTTACGGACTGGCCTTCAAGGTGTCGTGGATAAATAACAAAATAAAACCAGTACTGGTACCAAAAAAGAAGATTTATTCATAACACACGGGAAAAGACCCAGGGAAACAAAGTTAACAATAAAAACGGAAAAAAAACTTTGAAAACCATATATTTCATACCCGAGCCTCAATTTGTCCAATCTCTGCAACTCTCCGTGTGGTCAATAGTGATGTGTCGGTCGCGAACGAAACAGCTCTTAGAGCCGGATCTTTGACGTGAACGACGCCAGCCGGCTCCTTATCGAGAGCCGTGATTTTTTTTTTCCTTCTCTCACCCTCTCTCTCGCACTTTTTTTCGGCTTCACTCCGCATGCGAGCCTTGTGCTTTGCGCTGGGCAGAGGGGGGAGGGGCGGTAGTTACACTCAGTAGCACAGGAACAGAGCAGGAGGGAGAGACAGAGATTTTGCCACTGTGGCCCCCAGACTGTGGAACTCTCTCCCTTTGAGCTTAAGATATGTGGACTCAGTAGTCTCTTGTAGCAAAACAACTGAAAACTCATCTTTTTAGAATTGTCAAGGTCAACATTCAGGAGGCAACTTCATAAATATAAATACAAAGGGTTTATAAGAAAGTGCAAACCACTGGTTACACTCAAGAACAGGAAAGACAGATGAGACTTTGCCAGAAAACATCAAAAAGAGCTGCACAGTTTTACAGTGAGATCTTTGGACAAATGAAACAAAGATTAGCCTGTACCAGACAGATAGGAAGAGAAAAGCAGCAACTCAAGACAGCTGCTCTAAAAACCTAGCAGAGCATCTCAAGAGAGGAAACGCAGCATTTAGTGATGTCCACCGGTTCTAATCCTCAGACAGTCATTGACAGCAGGAAAAAGTATCATCTAAATACTAAAAACCATCCATCCATTCTTATCCTTTTCAGGGTCACGGGGGTGGGAGGGCTGGAGCCTACCGCAGCTGACTTAGGGCGAGAGGCAGGGTACACCCTGGACTAACACAGTGACACAGATAACCATTCACACCTGCACTCACACCTATGGGCAATTTAGAGTTTCCAGTTAACATATCCCCACTAACTGCAACTCTTTGGACTGTGGGAGAAACCCAGAGTACCCACAGACAACCCACACAAACTCCGCACAGAAAGACCCTGGCCTGATGGTGGAGTTGAACAACGGACCTTCTTGCTGTGAACAATCTTTTTCAATTTTCGGAGGCTATCCGCCGTACCACCCACTAACTAACAAGAAACCATCTTCATGTTGAAAATTATGTGAGTTTATTTAATTGCTTGTGAGAAATGGGGTATAATGGTTTCAATTCTTTACTTTGGTAAAACCTGTTGAATTAAAGTCTGCATTTCAGTCACATCTTGATTGTTTGATTTCAAATCCATTGAGGTTGTGTTGAGTCAATATTGAAAAAATTGTGTTAGAGTCCAAAAACTTATGGACTCATCCTGGGTTTTCAGGTTACGAAGGTGGTTCACTTCTTACCCTGACACATTATATTACCAGGACAAGTCCATAGTCCATATTTGCAATTATGTTCCCAGTGGCAATCTAAAAACAGCAAAAATTGTGAAATTCACATCTCTTTCAATTACACCAAATTCACACACACACAGAAAAACCAAAACATTAATGACAGGTGCTGATGTCACTGTAATAAAAGTAAAAAACACAAAAGCAGAGTAGGAAGTCGATTTCTAAAGACTGGGGGTAATCCAGCGATACAAAGATGTGGGTGCATTACCCCAACTTTAGCAGTTGTATCTAAAGTAAAAACAATAAATAATGGTACCACTCACTTTATGAGTTTATGTTACAATAATAATTTTATTATTTTATTAGGTCTATTTTTTTAATAATGCAGTTCTGCTTTTAACCTTCAATCAATCAAGGAGTGTCCAGTAGAGAAAGAGAGATGCACACTTTTGAACTTTGTTTTTTGTTAACTATGCTGAGAAGAAGTAGAATAAATAGGGTGAAGCCATATTAAGAAATGAAGGCAAATCCTGCATTGCTCAACAGCTACATTTTGTTTTAGTAGTTTGCAAGAGGTCAGAGTTCATCACTGTTGACTTCGACTGCAGTTCTTTCCTTTCTTATAAGATCCAAGTTTTTCCCAGTTTGTACCTAAGTGTAGTTCAGACTGTTCATTTATATTCAGACTGCTTAACTTTAAAAAAAAAAATTCCAACTCAAACCTTGGTAAGGTTAAAACTTTTCTTTGCTCTATTGATTCCTGCAGATGATTAACGAAAAATCAAATCAGCATTTAGCCATTTATAAATATTTGTGTTTTTACCAACTGGTGAATTGTATTTTTAATGGCATGACATAACTTCATAACAGGGCAACTTCATTTCAATAACAATCTGAAAAATCTACTATTTGTCTAGTGAGTTATCTAATTATCTAGTTTTTGCAGTGTGTGACTTTTTATGTGTACCAATATTAGGGAAGCATTATACTGTTTACAAGGGTTTGTTAGGGTCCCACTGTGTCTTTAAAGTGGCAGCATATGATCACAGTATTTATATCTGTTTCCAGTGAGCCTGAGATTGTTTTTGGAGGCAGGGACAGACTTGTGTAAATCATTGAACAACTTTTTTCTC